TTTTTTTTTTTAAGAAAAACTAGTAGGAGTCATATTTAATTAAATTCTCGTGTTTAATTGTCTTATAAAATGTATATAATTTATACATATTGGAGAGAGTCTCGAAAATGTCTTCGCTATTCAAACATGTCTTACGCTTCTTACACCATCAACTATTTCTTTTCAATTAGAACGAAAAATGCCCAAATGCAGTATATTATACCCCTGTTTGATCTACATTATTATCTCATTAAAATGAAAAATATGACCGTTATTCATCACATCAATATTTATGTTATATATATGTTATATTGTCATGTACTGTCTATTACAACACAAAGAACATGTCCTAAATAAATAGCTTCTCTACTTAGTAATCATCAAGGATCATGTTCTTAGTTCAATAAATATATTTTATTAAGATATGATATTCTTACATATACCTTATATTTTAATACTAATTATATAGGATTAAACAGAGAAAAGCAAATAACAAAATTAAAAAAAAAACTTTTTTATTGCAACAAAACATGATTGATTGACAAGAAAATTATTGCAGAAACACATAATTTTATTCCAAACAAGAGATAGAAGGAAATGAAAGATCACTATTTTACATACATAGACAGCAATGCTCCATATGGCTACAACGTCATACCAACATTAGTTTTAGACAACATTCAGCTTGAGATAAAGATTTTTAGACCTCTTAAGACTGATAAAACTATATAAAAACTTGTTTCTAAAATTTTCATGTAACACAATACGAACACATAATTGATTATTTCTGCAATTACCTACTTATTTTCCGTTGTTCTAAAAAAGGAGGCCTCCTTTTTTAGAACACGGAAAACAAGCGTTTAAATAATATTTTGAAAATAAAAAAAAAATGTAAAATTTTAACAATTAAAATTTTAAAAATTATGAAAATTTAAAATTCAAAAAATAAAATTGAGAAATTTTAAAAAATAAAATCTAGAATTCTAAAAAAATTAAAATTAAAATTCTGAAAAAATAAAATTATAAAAAAATCTAGAAAAATAAAAATTATAAAAAAAAAATAAAACTAGTTCTAACTAATGATTATTTACATAAAAAATTAAAATAATATTTAAATGAAAACGTACAAAAATATTTTAATTGCACGCCATTAATTTTTTTTTTATTTCCTATATTTTGAAATTAATTTATGATTTTTAATTTAAATTTTTAACGAGAAAAAATATTATAAGTTCCTCCAATGTTCCAAGAAATCAAGATCCCAAAATAAATCTTTAAAAGACCACCCACTGATAAACATAATTAACATATAAAACAGATTAGTGCAATTTATCTCCTAATAAAAATAGGACTAGTTAATTTAAAAACTCTATTTTAAAATAATAAACATCATTTTTGCTTTCTAATATTAAATTAAACACAACAAATAATTTATTTAAAGGAATCTTGATATGATATTCATGCATATGCCTAATATTTTAATACTAATTATATAGGATTGAACAGAGAAAAGCAAATAAAAAAATAAAAAAAAAAAACTATTTTTTATTGCAAGAAAATTTATTGCAGAAACACATAATTTTATTCCAAACAAGATAGAAGGAAATGCAAGATCAGTATTTTACATACATAGACAACAATGCCTCAATATGGCTACAACATACCAACATTAGTTTTAGACAACATTTGGCTCGAGATAAAGATTTTTAGATCTTTTATCTCAGGACCGATAAAACTTTTCAACATCTCTATACATAAAAACTCGTTTCTAAACTTTTCATATAACACAATACGAACACATAATTGATTATTTTCGCGCAATTACCTACTTATTTTCTGTTCTTCTCAATAAGGAGGCCTTGGATGTGCCCAAGCATATGCTTCATGATTCAACTGTCCACCATTTGCTAATAAATTCGGCGTAAAATTGTAATTTGGAAGCAATGAAGGATCAGGAATCCCATGCTGTTGTTGTCCACCGCTGCTTGTTCCAATTCCCGGCGGAAAATTTTCTGCTTTTTCGGTAGCCGGAGCAGGTGTGGAGCCACCTCCATCTTCATCATCTTCAAGTGGCAATCTTTCATAAGTTGCATTAGAAAAAGTGGCGGCGACAACCATAACTGGTCCTGCTGCCACTAGGGGACCTACAACACTTCCCCCCACTACCTGCCCTTGACCACCGGCTAGGTACACTGTGAGGCCGGTGGAGCCAGGAGGAGCAGGGCCAGGGAGGAAAGCTCCGGTTAATGACAGAATTTCGAATCTTCCATGTAGTGCCACGGCGGCCCCAGGTGCAGCAGGCTGTCTTATGGTGACACTGGCCACTGATCCACTGCCACTCAATACACATACCCCTTTTTGACGCCTCCTCGCGAATTGGGCTATGCTCTCCGCCACATCTGTGCCACCAGTCACTTCTAAGACGTGGCTCCGCAAGGCGTTAGGGCTGTCCTGGGTGACGAAAATTGGTGGTTTTGGCTTGTTCTTGGATCCCGGTGGCCGGCCTCGCTGTCTACGGGTGCCAACCTCAACAGCACCCTCTTTTGGCTCATCTACAGCATCTTTATCAGCAGATTCATTGCTTCCACCGCTGTTCTCATCGATCGGAAATTCCCTTTCGCGTTTGTTCATCAGACTTGGTTCAGCCACTGGCAAGCCGCCGGTCCACCACCTATTACTATTAGCCATACTAGCAGATTTTATGGATTCAGCTAAAAGATCAAAACTTTCTTGTTTGAATTTAAGTATGAGAACAAAACTCAAACCCTAATCTCTCCTTTTGAAGTAAGAACAAGAATCGAACACACAAAATTACTTAACCTGAAAAGATCCTTAATATCTTCAAAGATCTATAAAGTTCTTTAACGGACTTAAATCAAATTAAGACCATATAGTTATTCAGAGAGAGGGATGGAGTTGATTGGGATGATGTGAAGAAGATGTAGAGAATTGAAAAACTATTGGAATATAGAATACAATGTTTGGTACCAAAAACACAAACACTGTACAATGAAACATATGTGCAATCTTTTACTATGTTTTTGATATGCTCATGTAGTGATTTGGGGACCCGAGGTTTTTACTCTCTCTCATTTGAGTCACTGTGCACAGAAATTAGGGTTGAGCGTGGTGGGGTAGAGCGAGTGGGCAGGTGGGGAGCACGTCGCTGTCTCGTGCCCCAACATATTAAACGAAGAGAAGACCCCTAAACGCACATATATTATTTTTCACTTTATGTAAATGTTCTTCAATTCATATACGTGGTTGTTGGACAAATTTATTTTGAAATGAATTCTACAGTAGATGGGCTCGTATAGGGTGCTGAGTACGAGATCACCGTGTACTCTGCACGTCAAGTTACTTCTAGAAGAATATAAATTTATTAAGGTCAGTACTCGTTACAGTCTAGTTGCCTTAGCCTATATTTGACAAAATATGATAGGGTCCAACTCATTTATATCTTCGATCTTACGACATAGATTTGCATATAATAAGTATTGAACTAAATCATTTAGAAGCTAACCTACTAAAGACGGGTTACATTTAGAAAATGTTTGGTAAATCTTAGGAAATGTTAATTTTACGTAATTTCTTGTCTCCAATCATATTTGAATAACTTTTTTTCTATTTATTTGTAAGTTAGAAAAGGTTAATTATCTATGAAATGTTAAATGTATTGAATCGATAATTGTATATATAAATTATCTATGAAAAGTTATTAAAATCAAGATTTTAATTTAAATCAAAGTAAACAATTAATTTCAACCACACATTGTATGATACTCACAACTTTTTAACTACACATTTAATAACTTTTATCAAAATTTACTAAAACTCTGATTTTAATCCGGGCTTAATATACAAAGTATAATGTAGAAATCAAATCTTCTTCATTTAGAACAAGTCTCGAAAAATCTAGTCTTCTAGCATCGCTAGAATATGATTCTCTCACTCTCTTTCGAACTACAATCACTTTCATAGGTTTTCGCGTGCAGCCAAGTGTTTTACAAGTTTTGATTCCATGACAAGGTTTCCTATATATATGTGCAGTTCAAGCAACAGAGTCTGATAAAATCACACCACAAGAAGATTGCAGAAAGAGGTAAGAAGTACCAATCGCCTGGTTGTGAATATTCTTCTTGATTATGTAATTATATCATAAACAAGGTGATTTGCAGCACTCTTCCATACTTCGATAAAAAATTGTCCAACTTTCAAGAGACATTCGTCTCAATTGCAGTTCAAAATTTCAATAAACAACATTTCAATAACCAGGTGAAAAAATCTCGTTGTAATCAACCACCTCCTTCTGAGTGTACCCCTGACCACTAACCTAGCCTTAAACATTAAGGGTTCAAATGCACTAGTACCCTCATTAACCTTAAATACTCACTTACAGTTAACAGTAGATTTATTTTTAGGTTTAGGTACTAGCTCCCAA